CCCCCCCCTCATGGGGCCTTGGGACCAAGGGACCCACAACACACGCCAAGCCCAGAGGACAGGAGGGGGCCTAACAGTGAAATGAGAATCTCCTGGGAGGTGTCCAGTGTCCCTGGAGCTGGCCTGATGCAGCCTCAGGGAAGGAGAGGACCCTGCAGACCCTCTCCTGGAGGGTAGGCCAGGCCCTGAGCCCCTGTAGGGGCATCTGGAAGCTCTGACGTCCACTCACCTGTCATCTTTGTGTCTTCTCATCCTTTTGGTGTCCCTGGGGCCCTTTGTCCTGGACCTTGCCCAGGGTGCCATTGAGACTGTTCTTCATGGCTGAACCCTGGAATCCATGAGGGGCCCTGGCACTGAGCCCCTTCGTGGGGCCTGGGCAGTGAAAGCCCTGGCAGAACGTCCTTTAGAAGAAAGGCAGGGGCTCAGTAGAGAGAAGGATCTGCCTCAGCCTCTCACGTGGGTGTCCCCCCTCCCCAGGCTACCAGACCCTCGGGGAGGAGTATGTTGGGCTCATCCAGGTGGACCCATCCCGGAGCCAGGTGCCCTCAAGGCTGCGCCGTGGCCTGCTGGTCGCACTGCACACCGTCCTGCCCTACCTGCTGGACAAGGCCCTGCTCCACCTGGAGCACGAGCTGCATATCGATGGCAATGGTACCCGGCCGTCACAGGGCAGCCTGGCACCCAGCGTGCGAGGCCGGTCGGGAGCCAGGCGCTGGGTGCACCGGCAGGTGGCCACTCTGACAGAACAGCAAAGGAAGGTGCTGCTGAGGGCTGTCCTGGTGTTCAGGCAGGGCCTGGGCTATCTCCAGCGGCTGCACATCGCCTGGTTCTACATACACGGCGCCTTCTACCACCTGGCCAAGAGGCTCACGGGAGTCACCTACGTAAGTGCAGGTGCCCCCAGACTTGCTTGATCCTGGTTCACCTGTGTAGTTGGCTCTCAGGGCCTCTGTGGACTAGCAGTCACAGGGCCAAAGTCCTTGGCTGGGTTTCGTTGGGTTCACATTTCGCTAAAAAAAAAACCCAAGGAAGTTCAGTTTCCACAAACCCTGAGGGTAGGGCAAGTCTGTCTGCCACAGCCAGCACGTGTGGGCCACCCTAGGTGCCAGGCCCTGCACCCTGCTCTTTACTCTGAGACAGGCCTGTGGCCACACCTCCCAGACTGCCTTGATGGAGGGACATCTTCCTGAGAGTGACCCCACAGTGACCGTGTGAGCCCCATTGCTGACAGCATCCCACTAGTCTTTGCTGGTCCGCGCCCGCCCCCTCTGCTGGGTGACCGTTCACACCCTCCCATCCCAGTACCCTTGTCCACAGTCACACAGAAAGTGCCCCTTAGGCCTGCCTGCCCACCAGAAGGTCTATCTCAGCATCGTGCTCCCTTTAAGAAAGCCCCGCCCCTTTCCTTGCCTCCCTCAGCAGCATTGTCCTGGGTGCCTGTGCCTCCCCGTTGGTGCAGTCTCAGTCCTCAACGTGCTCCTCACCCATTGGTGTGTGTTCGTGAGCTGCTGTAACAAAAGGACCTGGAAACCGGAGGCTCACGGAGAGGGCTTGTCCCTCTCCTGGGGCTTCCGGTTGCCATGGGCTCTTCCCTGCGCAGGCACCCAGGGCACAGCAGGTCTGCTGACTTGGCTGCATCCATTCCTAGTCAAGGGAAGGGAGATGGGAAGTGGACGTGGCCAGAAGCTGCACCCGTCGCCAGCTGCAAGGGAGGCTGGGTGGCACATAGTGTCACCCCAATGGCATGGTCACCTGAAAGGGAGCTTCTGTCCCTGCAACAGACAGCTGGTGGGCAGCATCTGCCACCTGCTCTTCTCCTGCCCTGCTGGGTGCTCTATCTCAGGCTTCTTTGCCGGTTTCTTTCTTCTCTGAGATGGGGGTTCCCTGGATGTTCCCCACCTCCGAATCCTCACCTGCTGCCAGTGATCTGCACACTTCTGGCTTCGGGCACATCCTCCGGGCTCAGCACTTCTCTCTTGTCAGGAGTGAGGCCCTGAGGTGTCCATCGGCGTCCCCCAAGTGCCCACCCACCTGGTGCTTAGGCCCTGGAAAGTGCTCTTGCCCTCTTCAGCTGAGAGGCTCCGTGGTCGTTCACTGTCCCCCCTGTGCACCGAGGGGGCAGAGTTGGGCCTCATTTGATGGGCCACTTGAGTGCTGGGGGAGTCTGTCCTCCAGGCTGTTCAGTCCTTGTGCCAGCTGATCATGTGACTGTTCCCTGGGGTCCTTGACAGCTCCGCATCCACAACCTGCCTGCAGAGGACCTGAGGGCTCGTGCAAGCTACAGGCTGCTGGGGCTCATCTCGCTGCTGCACCTGGCGCTGTCCGCGGGCCTGCAGCTCTATGGCTTCCGGCAGAGGCAGCGTGCCCGGCGGGAGTGGAAGCTGCACCGTGGACTGTCTCACCGCAGGTGCATGGGGCTGGACCGGGGAGGGTCTCCGCTTGGGCGGGCAGCCAGCCTGTGGGAGCTGAGCACCCCTGCGCTCAGCAAGGACTTTGAGGCTCAATCCTCCCCACCCCTGCAGGAGCCACACGGAAGAGAGAGCGGTGTCCAGAAACTCCCTGTGCACGCTGTGCCTGGAGGAGCGCAGGCACTCGACAGCCACACCCTGCGGCCACCTGTTCTGCTGGGAGTGCATCACCCAGTGGTGTGACACCAAGGTCAGCAGTGCGGTCTGGAGCACAGGTTTCGGGCAGGTTTGCAGGACAGCCCAGGCGGCTGCCGCAGTCAGCAGCCTGCCTCTGAAACCTCTTGGTGGTGGGGGCGGGCGTCTTTAAAAGCCCCCAGGTAAGCCAGGTACAGGGTCGAATCAGGAGTCAAGGTGCTACAATTGCTGTGTGGACGCTTTGCTAGAAGCAAGCTAGAGCAGCCCCAGCATCTATGAACATCCGTTCCTGGCAGGATGTCCGTTCCTAGGAGGCCCTGGCCTGCAGACACGTGATGGACCCTCCTCTCCGGCCTGACAGGCGCCCACCATGACTGCTCATGTGGGAGCCCTGGGACGCAGAGCTACCTGCCGTGGCCTTTGAGGCCTCAGGGCAAGGGATATACTGAGCCAGGTGGTCAGCACAGAATGCCTCTCATCTCCATGTTGACTCGAGGGAGGAGTCCAGTTCCTGGGCCCCCACACACCTACTGGCAAGCTTGGGCTGAGAGGGAGCGGGAGGGCCACCCAGGTGAGGAGGTAAACAAGGGGCATGAAGCTCAACTTGTTTACTGTGCACAGGCTGCCCTGGGACCGTCTCTGCTTTGTGGGCCCCAGTGGGTGCCTGGCAGACAAATATCCGACCTTCCAGGGCTAGAGGGAAGCTGCCTGGTGTCAGCCCAGGTGGCCTTAGGTGGTGGGACCACCTGGCTTAAGGAAATGGCACGGAAGATAGGCACCTTTATCCTAGAGCCTCCAGAGAGGCTGAGGCAATCGGTCGTTACCAGCTTGAGAGCCTGTAGGCATCTCAACACAGCTGTCAGTGGTGGCCGAGAGCCCTCACCTGTCCCCAGTCACCATGTGGATGGGCTGGCTGGCTTCTCAGCAGGGTCTCTGTTCCCTGCTCTTCCCAACCTCCAGGGTTAGGCCTTCCCTGCAGGTAACTCCAGTTTTACACTGAACAGAGGTTATTGGAGATGCCAGTGGGGGGAGGGCCCACAGTGGTCCTGCAGGGGACACAGCCTGTGACCTCTCCTTCCCCCACAGACGGAGTGTCCCCTGTGCAGGGAGAAGTTCCTTCCCCAGAAGCTCGTCTACTTGCGGCACTTCCGGTGACCAGGGATGGAGGATCCCAGAGCCACCTGTCAGGAGAAACAATTGATTCTGAAGATTAACTTTACTTGCACAGAAATCATGAAATTCTCTAACTTTGTATTTGTGTCACGTAAGATCCTGTGCCAGCAGCTCAGGATAGAAGCTGGATGGCCGATCCAAGGCCTCCAGGTCCAGGTTTGGGCGGGGGCTCCACCCAGCTGTTACCCCCGAGCCTGCGGACGTGATGGGTGATGGCGAGCTATAGCCAGGGCCAGCAGTGGGCGCCCCACCCTCACCCTGCATACAACGCAGCCACCTCTGGAGGAACTGTGGGAACCAGGTCTTAGGTTCCCTCCCTTCCGCGAACCACACAGCTGAGGACTGATTCCAGAAACAGGCTGGGGCACTGTCCATTTCTGCGATGGGGAAATGGGCCAGCATCTGGTGGACAATAAGGGTTTGGCCTAAATGGGCAAGTCTTGAGTGAGCAGAGATGTCCCTGCTTTTGGGGGTGCGGTCAGCCCGACAGCCCCACCACCTGCAGACCTCACCCACACCACAGCCCAGTGCTGAGTGCCCAGGCACAGCCACTCCCAGGAGTGGAAACCAGGGCGCTCCACCTACACCTGCGGTGCCCAGCACGTACTTTAATGCACGTGCATCTGTTGTGCATTTAGAAAGTGCAAGTCTGCCCTGGTCCTTAGATGCTGAGGGTCTCCTCCTGCCTGGGACACCTGGTGGGCAGAGCCAGCCTGCGTGAGTTCTGTTTTCCTCACAGCTAGGCCACAAACCACCTCTCAGAGGCGGGTGGGTGGGACAGCTGTCATCTCTATGTCCAGCCTACTTCCTGCCACAAATTTTATTTTTCAGGTTTTTAAAACGATTTAACTTGTACCAGAAACAGGACTTTGCCATAGGTGTTCTTAAGAAGCAAATTCCACAGAGTGCTAGTGCGTTAATGCCACAAGGCTGATGTCGCCCTCACCAGGACCTCTGGTCTGCGTCACGTCCCTGCTGGGAGTGTGCAGCTCGGGCTTGTGGCAGAGACCTGTGCAGCCGTTCCTTGGAGTGTGACAGAGCAGCTGTCCAGCAGCAGAGACGGCTATTCTCGGTAATGAAGGTCACAGGCCACTGTGACCACAGGCCAGACTGAGCAGCAGCCCTCCAGATGAGGAACGGCCCAGAGCAGGTGCTACCGGTCCCCACATCCTTTCCTTCCCGCCAAGCCAGGCCTGAGCACTTACTAGGGAACCGTGTGAAAGGTGAATCTGGAGCTGGAGCCTCTCAGCTGAGGCAAAACACAAGTGCCGACGCGGAAACCATCCAGCGTGCAGCCACACACACCAGCAGGGACAAAGGTCTCAACTCGGCTTCTGAAAAGCAAGGGGAGCCCTGGTTGGGTGGCTCGGTTGGAGCATCGGCCCATGCACACACTGAAGGTTGTGGGTTCAATTCCCAGTCAGGGCGAGTATGGGAGGCAACCAACATGTCTCTCTCTGACATCGGTGTTTCCTCTCTAAAAAATAAAAGTAAATAATAAAAACATCCTCGGGTGGGGATTTTTTTTTAAACAAGAGGAGCTGCCTGGCCAGCCGTGGCTCAGGAGATCATGGTTTGATTCCCGGTCAGGGCACATGCCTGGGTTGTGGGCTCAATCCCCAGTCAGGGGCAAGCAGGAGGCAGCCAATCAATGATTCTCTCATCATTGATGTCTCTCTCCCCCTCTCCCCTCTCTCTGAAATCAAAGATATATTTAAAAATAAAAAGCAAGAGGAGCTCAACTAAACTTCAGGGATGCAAAAACTGGCAAAAGAAAAACCAAACGGAAAACATATTTGACCTCTGAAACCTTAGGACAGTGGGAAACTGCTCAGAGCCACGAGTCTGAACCCTGACCCGGGAGAAAAGACGGGTTCACACTTCAGCATCTCCCCCAGTGAGGCGCATGGCCACATTCTGCCTGCCCTGCTGCTCTAGGCAGTGGTTCCCCCAGGGGCGCGTTTTTGATAAAGACTACGTGAGAAAGGGGACACTGTCTTTAATAAAGTTGAATTAAAAAGTCACTTAGTAAAAGGTTTACGAGTATTTGTTCTTATCACATCAAAAAAGTCAGCATGCAGGTCCGAGTTGTATCCCGTAGAAAGGAGCCGAGCGAGAACCCACAGAACGGGGTGCTCGCCCAGCACGCGCATCTGTGAAGGGGCTGTGGCGTGAAAGCAAATTCAAATCAATCAGAGCAACTCTTTACGTATGAAAAAAATATGTCAAAATAATCTCAAACAATTAAAATATAATATATATTTATAATTCCAGGCCCCAAAGCAATCGTGGTTAGGAACAGGGTTTCCAGTCATGATAGAGGCCAATGGGACACCTCTGTGAGGTGAGATGGGACACGGGCTGGGACCCAGCGTTACTGCGAAACCTTTCGAACGCTGAGCTCCTTCCAGCGCAGGGCTCCAGCAGGCTCCGGCTGGCGACCCAGCCACGGTGTCCTCGGGAAGGTCCTCTGCGCCCCCAGCCCCCCTCGACTGCCCAGCCTGGGACTTACTAAGTCTGTCCATTTAAACACCTGACGTCACTGAAAAATAAATCAATGCAATTGTTTAAATGTCAGTTTCCTCAAGAACCTGATATCTCAGTTACAAATAATTGAAGCTCCTTTTTAAAAAGAAAATCCGACTCCCTCGCCATCAACTACTTTATGTGAAGAAAGAAGGCGCTGTTACAATGGCTCAAACTGGCGAGGCTCCGAGGGGCGGCCAGGCGGCCGTCTAACTCGCAAACGTCTTGCCCGCGTCTTCCTTCCCCTTGTAGGTCCTCTTGCCGTGTGTGAACGGGATGTACCGGTACTTGATCATGTGCTGGGGACAGACAGACAGACACGTTGGGCAAGAAAACCCAAGGCTTCACCTGTGGGGCTGACTGAGGGTGGGGGGTGGGGAATGGCCTGGGTCCAAGAAAGGTCCTGAGAGCAGGAAGGGCCAGGATGGGAGGCGCCCTGACAAGCAGCGTGGCCCCAGGTCTGTTTTAGGGTAACGTGGGCACAACCCCTGCACCATCTGGCAGGTCCTGACCCTGCCTGACCCATAGGATGCGGTGCCCAGGAGAGCACAACCCACGGCCTTTCCTACCCAGTCCTGAGCTGTGCCCCCAGGGCTCACTTGCCAACACCAGGCTGTGGCCCAGACCCGTGCCGGCAGCAGAGCAAGCACTGAGCCCCGCCCAGGCCTCCCCGGGTGCGGTGCCGCCCGGTTACCTTGATCTGCCTCTTCATTGTGATGCAGAAGAGCATGATGAAGTACATGACCAGGATGGGCCAGAACACGGGCACGTTGAACGCCTCAAAGAAGGTGCAGGCCATCGCCACCAGGATGCCCTTGGTGGCCGCGTGCCTTGAAGGAGGGAGGGAGGGGGAGCGCACACCTGAGCAGCGGCTTCGCGTGCCTTCGTGGGCAACGCAGCATCCCTCCCAGTCACATCTAAGACGGTGGTGAAGGGAGCGGACACCAACCCACTCGGGGAGGGTCCAGGGCCAGGCAGCACCCAGGGGCTCCCACCATGCAGGGCCTGTCCACGAGGCTCACAGTCCCACTAAAATTCCTCAGCTCCCCCCTTCCTACAGAGCACAGTTCAGCTTCCTCGGGGGGCTCCCAGGCCCCCAATCTTGCCAGCATCCCTCTCCCTAGCATTTCGTGCTCAGTCCCCAGACTTGCTGAGCGCCGCCAGGTTCCACACACACGACCACAGTACAGAGCAAAAATGTGGCAGTTTGTTCCCATCAGTTTTTTGATCCAACAAATACAGGACAGAAGAAGTCACAAAGCCCTATGCCCCGGACAGTGGAGGGTCAGCCCCGGCCACTTGTCACACTCACTCTCATCACAGCCTCTAGGGAATCTGGGTACCAGCCCACTCTCATCCCACAGCACAGCACTTCCCACAACAGCAGCCGTCCCCAAGTGGCGCCTGCCCCAGATGGCCCAGCCTTGCATCCCTCAGACACCTGAGCAGACAGGAGCATCCACCAGAAGGGCGCGTATGTGGAGCGGGACAGAGACTGTCACGCAGCCTGTCCCTCCCAGGTGCATTCCACCCGAAAGCAACCTCTGTGCTAGTTTCAAAAAGCCTTGGTGTTAACTAGCCACTGGGCAGTGGGCTCCCCAAGAGACCCGTGACCCACGAGCACGGCACACCTATTCTGTTTTGGGTGAACAAATGTTCAAAACAAAGACAACTCTCACTTCTTTGAAGAGTCTAACTTGCTAGCTAACTGGAGCTAAAACAGCCTGTTCTCAGTCTACCAACCACACTAGAGGACAAGTACCTTTAGGAATCAACTCACCAGAATTTAAACTCCGGAAGCCTTCGGATGAACGGCCGGAACTCCTCATTCTGTCTGGTGGGTAACGAGGGGCCGTCATCTGAAAGGCACAGCGTTCATCAGAAAGAGCACGGGTCTCACCTTCTACTTCCATAACTGTATTTAGTCTTCCCCTAACGCTCTTGAATGAAATACAGGCTTGTATCATTTAACCAAAGGTAAAAGGGGACCTTTAGTGAATTTAAAAATCAACTCGTTAGTTTAGAAGATTATATTAGAACTTCTTTTTAAGAACTTGTATATATTTTGATTGCTTAGAAATTCAACTACACATGAGTTAAACTCAGGAACACTCCAACCACACAAAGGAGCATAAAGAAACAGACAGGGCTTTCACAACCAGTGGACCGCCTGCCCAGCCGAGTCTGAGCTCCAGAGCACTGTTCATGGGGAGCTGGGAGCCAGCCTCTCTCTGACGTCCCCCACCCGACACAGGTGCCTCCTGTTGAACAGAGAAGCTGAGGCTACAGACACGGCCTCCTAGTTATTTCCTAATCCCCCCAAGTGGCCACTCAAAAAAGTTGTGCTTCCTTTAATATTTTCATTAAATATTCTAAAAAGAAAAATCACAGGCTTCTGGTCACCACTGGAATACCCATGAGAAAATGCCCAGCACTCGGAAGGTGTCTCTCCCCCAACAGGGAGCTGCATCAGGTTTTTCCGATGGGGGCCACAAAGGTGCTCGAACAAGTGGCTCGTCTGTTCACGAGCCTTCCCCATCCCCACCCTGGCTGGCCCATCAAACAGGAGCTCGGCCAAGGTATGGCCAGGAGCAGCGTGAGCCAAGAACTTTTTGAACACATCGCCCCAGGAAAATCAGAGAACCACCCTCCAGGGAGCCAACCCAGAGCTCAGGGTCTCCTTGGCCTCTGTAGTCACAGTGAGCTGCTGTGGAAACCTCTGGTTCCGTGAGGGGACCTGAGGCGTGTGGAGAGGACTTCAGGACAGGCTGGCGGTTTAGGAAGGAGCACCCTCGAGGCATCCAGGATCATACCCCTGTTCTACCCACTCTGCACGTGGCCTCAACTTACACAGCCCCACCTGCCTCAGTTTCCTCATCTGCATATCGGATAACAGAGGGAACACCCACCTCGAAGGGCTGTTCAGAGAGTTTAATGAGTCGTTCTACAAATTTATCATAATTACTCAAGTCCTAGGTACATTTTAAACATCAAGAGAACAGACTCACAGTTTGGATTTCAGATATTTCTAAGAAAATGGAGCAACCCTGTGAAATACGTGAATCACAGCCCTCCCCAAACCACAGCACATGGATGGTTGCCCCCCCTACCTGAATCTTCCATCAAGGAAGGGTCCACCTTTGGAGAGAGGAAAGCTATGAAGAGGTTCAGATGGTAAATCCCCAAAGCGTAGGTCACAATGTACCAGCCCTGGAAGAGAAGGCAGCAAGGTCAGGCGCCCCAGGCCGGCACATTGTTCAAAGTCAGAGCCCTGGACCCCGTCCGTGTTCACAGCCAGAGCCCCAAACCCTGGACAGTGTGTTCACAGCCAGAGCCCTGGACCTCGTGTTCAGCTAGAGCCCTGGACCCTGTGCTCAGCCAGAGCCCCAGCCCCTGTGTTGACAGCCAGAGCCCTGGCTCCCGTGGACTGAGCTGAGAAGCAGACTTGTTCCTTGCAGCAAGAGTCACAAGGGACAACGGTGTGGTGAGCACCCATGGTGACAGTTTTCTCAAACTGCTTTGGGGTCTTTACAGTGGACAGCCAGGGGGGGTCCAGTTAGATGCACAAACACCTGAAGACAACAGCTCCCACAGGAGCATGGCAGAGGGAGGGTTTCTCAAGGCCTCAGGCTCAGCCAGGCATCTGAACTGCAACACCACTGCCCAGTATACGCTGGCTGACAGCCCTGATGTGCCTCGGACCTGTTACCACACTCTGCAGGAGGGCCCTCCTCTCTTCCAGAGAAACCCAGAACCGGAAAATCCGGAAATCAAGAATGAGGTCAATTACGTTCTGGAGCCCTGGCGCGTTTGGCTCCGTGGTAAGAGCGTAGGCCCACGGACTGAAGGGCCCTGGGTTCGATTCTGGCCAAGGGCACATACCTCGGTTGCAGGCTCAATCCTGGGCCCTGGCCGGGGTACAAGCGGGAGGCAACCCATCGATGTGTCTCTCTCACATCAATGTTTCTCTGTCTCCATCTCTCCCTCTCCCTTCCACTGTCTCTGAAGAGCAAGGGAAAAAACATCCTCGGGTGAAGATTAAAAAAAAAGAAAGAAAAGCTCTGGAGCACACATTCTCGGGAGCTGTGGAGGATGCTGCACCTACCAGCACCTGGACTCACTTTCAACAGCCTGGAAACTTTCCAAGTCCAAAAAGTAAACCTGCGTGAGAGTCTGTTTACTGTGCACAGCTCCCGAGGCAGGCCGGCCCAAGGGCGCCACGCCAGGGGGACCTGGAAATCACATGACCCCCCATGTTCTCTAGATCAAGGTCCCCGGCTCGTTCTCCCCATTAGAGGATGGACCAAGTTCCAATTAAAAACCCCACAAAACTAAAACTGATGATAGTGAATTAAACATGAACTGCAGACCAAGTCCTGCTTGCTACACTGAGCCCCCCGCCCCCCAGAGCTGTGTGGGGCTAGCAGGGACCAACACCCAGAAATAACATCTGAGACATGTCTCTACACTCAGTCTGTGAGAATGTCGCACAGTTCTGGACATGTCGCAGCATCCAAGAAGCAACGTGCTCGTCTGTGGACCACGTATGTCCTCCTTGATCCTGGGCACCACCTGGAGGAGGTGTTTCCATAAACGAGGAAACATCTCCCAGGCCCAGAGAAGAAACCCCGGAAGGTGTGGGCCTGGAGACGTTAGCTGACAGGAATCCTCTCAAGAGAATTCCCGAGGGACAAGGTGGTTGCCAGAGAGTAAGCGCCTCGAGGTAGAGTCTGGGAGACATAGCCTGAGCGGGAGAAAAGCCCTCGCTGGCACCTTGGGTGCCCAGACACACGAAGCTGACAACCTGCACCCTCCTCAGCCTCGCAGAGGTGCGGCTCAGTTGGCCAAACCCTGGAGCCAACGTCCCTCACAGCCCCCAGGGAATAAGGTGGCTGGTCCAGGAGGTGATTCTGTCCCCCGTCTCTGGCCCCGGGCGTCCTGAGGCCCCAGGCCACCATGGAGATGTTCCTGGGAACCCCAGAGTAGACAGGCTCAGGGCAAGCTGTGAACGATGCTACTCCAACAGACAGTCACAGAAGTTGTTCTTAACGTTTGAAGCTTCACTGAACCTAGAGACCATTTCCTTCACCACAAACCCACCGAATCCAGAGACAGAAGAAAAACCACACCACATTCGATACCAAGGAGACGGTGGGTCTCGCCCCGGCCACACCTACCTGCAGCAGGTAAACCCGAATCATGTAGATGAAGCTCAGGCCCAGCGTCACCACCCATCGCACAGCCGTGTAGGGCGTCGACTTGTCCAGCCAGGACTGATAGATCTGCAACAACAGGAGTGCTTGCACCACACAGACCCTGCGAGGCTACCAGCAAGTGTGCCTCCCCTCTCTGCTTCAGGCTGTGCATCACTGCGCACTGAATGCCATGGCCAACCCCAAATTTATCTGCAATAATTCAAGGCAGATCTGAGCTTTGAGAAAAAACAATATAGAACAATTTCTCACAGCAGATGGTCCACCAGCATCAGCCTGAGGGCTCAGCAGGGGAGAACCAATATCAGCCCAGAGGGCTGGCTGAGGCAGGAGACATGCACACTGGAGTCGCCCCCACACGCAGGAGTCAGCCCACCTGCCCAAGGAGCCATCTCAACCCCAGTGGCGTGGAGCAGGCATGGGTGGCACCACAGCTGCCGCGGAGTTTGCTGAGGGACTCGAGTTTTATATGCACACGCACGTACCTACATGTGCACATGTAATTAGTGCACGAGTACTGTCCAACTTTACTTTTGAAACTAAGTTTTAATTGTGAAAATTTTCATCCAGTTGTGAAAGTATAGAATACATGAGCCCAGACACACCCATCACCCGGCTTCCATAATCAAGTGTTTCAAATGTTGTTTTAATTTTAAAAATCGACACAGTACTAACTGCAACTGCTCACTGAGTCCTACTTCTTCCCCTAAGACTGAAATCTGCAGTGTTTGAGCATAGTCTGAGGCACCGCTGGCTGCTGCACGGGCTGGGTCCAACCACTGTGTGCACACCCGGGCAAGGGGTCAGCGGATGTGGATGGCCGGAAAAGGGGGCAGCGAGGTCAGAGTAGGGGCTGGGAGCCGAGACAGGTGTCTCGTTACTGAAGGTTGAAAACAGCCCTGATGGGAGCTGCTCAGTGGTTAGAGTGTCGGCCTACACAAGGAGGGTCTCAGGCTCTATTTCCAGCCAAGAGCCCGGGCCTCAACTGCAGGTTTGCTCCCCTTCCCTATCAGGGTGCGTGTGGGAGGCAACTAGTCGATGCATGTCTCTCACATCCATGTTTCTCTCTCTCTCCCTCCTTCCCCTCCTCCACTCACTCTCTGAAAAGCCATGAAAAAATATTCTCAGGTGAGGAGAAAATAAAAATTAAAGGCCGAAAACAAATGTATGGCAAAGACCACATGTGGCCCCGAGGCCTAGTCCACTCACTGTCTGGCCCATCCTAGAAGACACGGCCCCTGCAGAGAGAAACGGTTCCTGAAAGTGTAAGCGTGAGGCTCCCGTATGCTGGGAATGCTGGCATACTCGTGCCCTGCGCAATGTCTGGTCAACGGCTTCTTGTTCAAACGTTCGCACAGAGCAGCCACAAGACACCCACCTGTCCGAGTCGTGTGAAGAATCTGTACACCACAGACGGCTTCCCGTGGACGGAATCTCCAACGCTGTCACCTTCGGACATTCTGTAACTGAGAAAAACAGACCACTTTTAATTAAAAAGCAGGCAAGGACCTGACCACGTTCCACCAATACTAGGAGCAGGCTTTCCAGTACTCAGCACTTCACCCCCCCCGCCCCCCTTTCCTCTGGGTGACTTTCCCGTGAGCTGCCTAGAAAAAGAAACAGCAGGCGACACGCTTTGGTGGATGGCCAGTAAGGCACGTGACATGCAAAGCAGCACCACGTGGACTTTCATTTCTGCTACCATCGCCTGGATCGCACCCTCTCACTGGTCCCCAGGAGCCGCCCCACTGCCTCTGGAGTCCAGCCTTGGGGCCGATCCAGAGCCTGGGCCACTGCACCCACCCCTGCCCCTGCTCCCTAGACTCGCCTCTCTAGCACCTCCTCCTGTCATTCCTAGGTCCTGAACCACCCCTCTTCTCCAGCCCGGCCCCGTCTACACCCAGGCTGCTCTCCATGCGCCAGCAGCCAGTGGGCATCTCCTGGTCCTCTCAGGGCCACATCCTCAGCTCCAAGAGGAAAATGTCACATCTGACTCTCTGGTCGTCAGCTGTCTGTGCCCCAGTTCCTCATCGGTAAGTGGAAGTAACCCTACCTACTCATGACTATTTCAACATGCTGCTGTGATTCCCTGAGGAATTCACCTGTGAGAACCCAGGCAACCAGGTGAAGTGGCATCATTGCCCTGACTTCACTAGGGAGAATCCAGCCTTAAGTAGTTTAAGCCACTTGCCCAAAGTGAGGAGCACCTCCTCCAACCAAGCAGGCTACTGCCAGAGCCCTAGAATGACAAGGACCCAGAGGACCAAGGGGCTTGCCATCCCTAAGCTGGTGAAGATGCCAGGACAAAGCTCACCACTGTCCCCAACCTACAGGTGGCACCTCCCCAATTTGGTGCCAGGGTGGGTTTGTTTGCAAAGCCCTGAGCATGAGGCCTGTTTCCTCATCTGGAAAATGACCCTCACCAACAGCAGCCCTTCACATTCAGGCAGGACACTGAGGCTGAGGGTGTCTGGGGGGGGGCCCTGCCAGCCCTCCCACTCACCGTGGGTGGAACCTGCCCCTCTCTGCCTGAGCCCACACTTCCCAGTCAATCCCACCACGAGCACACAGGACATCCTCTTTCTGAAGTGGAGATCAGCAGCTGGGGGTGTGACCCAGGTCTCAAATGGAAACACTTTACAGTTACAGCTTCAATATTAAAATAACCCGAGCAGCCCCACTATTCCAGGTCACCAAGTCTGCACAGAAAAGTGCAACTGCGACCCCAGGACACCCTTTCCTGGAGCTACGTGGGCCCCAGGCAGAGTTCTAGGAAGTGTGTGGAGACTGGAAAATGCCCTTTGCTCCCACGGAGACGCGTACACAAGAGGAGTGCTGAACAGAGCAAGACTGTGGCTCCCGGTCCTCCTGTCTTCTCGGGAGGGGCAGCTTTACATCCCACCCGGGGACAATTCTGTGCTTCCAGAGGAGCTGAATGAGAACTCGTGGCTGAGGATGCTCGAGGGCCACCTGGTTCAGGCCAAAGCCAGGCCAGCAGCAGCAGCACCAGCACCATCCTCCACCCAGGGTTCCTTGCAGATTCCCCGTTACTTTTTTACAACCAAGTCGCTGAGCATTAGAACGTTTTCACTTGAACTGAGGTGGTAAGAGTGACATTGGAGGCAACCTCCTGACTGTCCCTGGAAGGTGCGTCCTGCACGTAGAAAGGGTTGTGGACGACCTTCCCGGGCACAGCCTCCCGGTTCAGACGATCCGACAACGTCCACGAAAACGGGCCGTCGACAGTAAGGACGTGGACTTTGGAGTCAAACAGCTGTGGCTGTGCGGCTCTGTCACTTCCTAGTGGAGAAACGCCCGCGTCTCCTCCGGGGCTGCGGGGTTACCGGGGCCGGGGCCGCCTCCCCGCGCCGGGGGGACGGGTCCTGGGCCAGCTGCTCCGCCCGGCTGCCTGCCCTCTGCTCAGAGGCCTCCGCCCAGGCCCAGGTTCTCAGCTTGTGCAACGTCTCGCTTCTCTCGGCGTCTTTCTATTTCCTCCACCTGCAGCGCGAGTCCTGGAGCAGCGCTCGGCCCCCCCCGCTGGGCCCAGCGCCCAGGAAGGCCCGGAGGGGCCGGCGGTAGGCGAACTACCCGCCGGGTTCCACGGCTTTACTCACAATCGCAGGGAAAACGGAGCCGGGACGGAGCCCCGGGCCTGAGGTCGCGGGCAG